CTCGGTTTTCCTTTGCCAATCAGTCAATGCCACATTTTCTTGGCCTTCAAACTATGTAAATACTGTGTATACGCATTTCTGATGAGTCAGCGCGGCGCTGAGCAATTCTTATGCCTTTTGGGTGCTTGCTAAGATTCGACTTCATAGCTGGCTGCCTAATTACAAGCGGCCTTCATGCAATTCGCAGCTGACAGCAGGCGGACAGCGGGCTAGAGGCAGCTCAGCTTATGGCGGGCACCCAGAGATTACATAACATTTCACGGCTCGAAACTTTTTGGGCGCGCCACCTACAATTCTATCCGCATTATGCAATCTCATTAAACGGCCACTTTACAATATTCATAATCTAAACGAAAAGCAACGCCATTAAGCGTACAAAAACAGCAGCAACAACAACAACACAAAAAGTGAAAAGTTTCGGAAGCGCGTGAAAAACTCAACCGCCTACGTGAGCTGCCCAATTGATTCTTTTGAGTGACGTAGCTGACCTTGTCGCCGTGACGAAAACGCATAAAAGTCATAATACTGTTTATGGCTTATTATTTATGATGCATGTACATTTGTTTAACAGCCGACTGGCAGGCATGCCTGCATGCCAATTGCATAATTACTGTGCGGTACGAAAAGTGCCATATTCTATTCTGTTGTTGCGTGACTGACACGCGCATCGAGGCTGCGCTGTGGGTGGATGTGAGCGCTCGCATTCAGAGTGGAACAATCGCATTTCACTCATCATATCATCATCATATTGTGTATTTACCGAGCATTACACGTAAGCGCCATTTCACACCTCGTGCATGCCACAAGTATTACGCATTTGGCAAGTTCCACAAAAATGGCTCGAACATGATGCAATGCCAGAGCCAGCGGCAGCGACAAATGCAAGTCAAACTGTCTGAATGCAGTTTTGTTCGCAATTTGTTAAATGATCTATGGCAGTCGCGCAGTAACAAACAACAACAGCGAAAACTGCTCTCAAAGAAAATCGTCACTTATGGCATGACGAAATTCGAAATTCGTATGCCCTTACAAGAGCTTGTATCAAACTTACGGATTCAAACCAACTGCGAATAGATAGATGATTGTGCTGCATACTACGAACATAGTATAACTATGCAATGTTATGCAAAAAGTTTGAATGCACAGCTGAGAGGCAAACACTTCTAAAAACTGCCAAGACCTTTGTCAACAAATGAGGCAACACATCCACAGACTCAACTGTCTGCTAGGCACTTACACACATAGAGTATTCGAGCTTTGGCAAGAGCACGCTGCAGCTGAGCGCGTCGGATGTGATTTTATTTATAGAAATTAGCAAATGTGTAGCCGAGTAGCAACAGCTGCCAAATGCAAATGTCGAGAACTGGGTTGCCCCGAATGCAGCAGCTACTGCGACGCAGGTCAGTTTTGAGTAGTTCTAACAAGACGGGCGGACGCTGGCTCCGAAGCGCGTGGTGTGCATTGCCTGTTTCGCAAACATGTGCCAACAAATCAAACACCAACACACAGTTCTAGCATTTATTTTGTATTTTTTTCATTGTTACTCGACTTGCCAAATCATATTTTCAATTGAAGTTCTAGCGAATTGTTGTTAATGCCTCGAGAAACAAACAGGAAATGGCAGCACAAAAAGCGTTGACCAAAAAAGGCAATCAATTTTTTTGCAGCTACCAAAAGTCAATCAACTAACGAAATTTAATACAATTTTATAGCGGCTGTTGTTGTCGTTGTTGTTATTGTTGGTGCTGCTCCCACAGTAATTTGGACTATGCTCGAAATTTGACGGCGGTCTGTCAGTAGCTGCTCATAAGCTCGCATACTCAGAGACCCAGAGAGACCCTCTGCTGTGTGTGGGCGGGGGTGTCTCGTCGAAATGTGTAATTCAATAGGCGAGCAGAGTCGCTCACTCAGTCGTTGTGTCTATGGCGCACATTCTCGGAATCGATTGTGCCCAATGAAATGTTTCATTAATCGCCGCATATTAATATAGAATTTCATGTTCGTCATGTTGCTGTGTGGGGCATTGTTTTTGTGGAATTTGAGCAATTAAAAAATTATTATTTGCTTCATCGGCTCGCCAAAATGTTTGATGCCAGTCGAAAGCAACTGCAGGTGACAGCAATCCCACAAGCTTTTAGATAAATATATGGTTGCCCTAATCAGTGTGTGACTAAGCCAACGGACAAACCAACTGATTCCCATACGCCTACAAACCCACAAAAACCACAAAACCCACAAGATAAAAGACCGACAACGACAACGATAGCAACTGTAGTTTTGCATGCTATGCTACAGGTTTGTGCCTTAAGTCTTTTGTTTTCTTTTCACTTTTATTTAATTTTTTGTGTTTTTGTTTTTGTTATTTTGCATGCGCTACACTTACCCGTTTGCTTGGGTTTGATTCCAGTGCTTTGGCATATTTCAAGACGGAAGCGGCAACAAATTGTGATTAACATGATTATACATATGTTTATCTGTCAGTTCCAGCCGACTGTGTGGGTAGCCTGCATGCACAAATAATCATGTAGACGAGATGTATGTGGATTTCTGGCCATATGTAGCGAAAGGTTAGCACGCCGCTTAGCCCAATATGAAAGGCTCGCCGTCATCGCGATGGGTGTGCTTTACTCATTAGAGCGCTGCTTTAATAGACTTGCGGGTAGAATGTCTGGCATACACGAAATGGCAAGCTGCGCCATTTATTCCCTGATCATTTATCATAGTTTTATTCGCGTTTTTATTTTGAATTAAATATATTTAGAGCGCTCGCACATGCATAATTGAAGTGATTTTTAATTAAGAAACTACGACAGCGAAGGTCGCTTTGGGGCAAGGCAACACCCGAGGGCCGCGGGCACTCGGATTCAAAGAGATTGTTGATCAGCTCCCTGAGACTCTGCGGCTCTCGCCAATTGCAGCTTTGTAGAATTTTTGGGGTCATGCAGACAATTGGCCGAATGCTGCGTAAGTTATGCCAAAAAAATAAAAACATATATATACAAAAAACAAAACAAAAATTGTTGCGCAACAGTTAACGGGCTTTGTTACCATTTCGACCAGCAGCCATAACAATAACGTAAACAAAAAGCGGCACTTAAATCTCGCGCCAAGAAAAACGTGATTTTCCACTTTTGATTTTTCGGTTGTTGTTGTTGTTGTTTTTGTTTTTCTTTTTAAGGCGCGCTCGCGCCCAAAAGGAGTTGCTTGACTCTTGTGATTCTCACGTAACCAGCGCCAGCAACATGCGGCAAGCTGCCGGCAACAACCATAACAACATAAACACATGTTGCCAGGCGCTGGCTGTGGCTGTGGCTGTGGCTGGAGCCAACTCCAACGCCAACCGGTTGAGTAACTGCGCCGCCGATTTGGACTAAAATTTCTTCCAGATCTTTGCTCTCGCAGCTTGCAGAAGTGGTTGGTCTGTGGCTGCTGCCACTTTTACTCTCGTTGTTGCCACAGTCACACACACACACACACACATATATAGTCCAAGTCACAGTCACAGTCACAGCCGCAGCCACAGCGACTCCACCAACTTTTGCCCCATAACGGAAACGGCCATCATAATTTTTGCACAATTTATTACGTTGCGTTAGCAAATGAAATAAATTTCTAGCTGTGTAAATCGCCGTTGATTGATTATGACGCTTATGCGCAAATACTTAAATTGATTGTAATTGTTTGGGAATGGGGACTTTTGTTTTCGATCTTTAGAGAGTGGTCAAATATTTCGGAGGGAAGCACATACTCATATATATTTAATATATCTCACTTACCGTGGGACTAGCTGATGCAATTGCAATTGCGATCATGATTGATGGATGCGTTTGTATTGAGCTGTTAGTCAGGAATCTAATTAATCAAAGCGCTGATTAAATGAATTACAAACATTTCTAATAAAATGACACAAAGCCAAAGCAATTATGAACAAAGTCCAATAATTAGTGGAAGAATGCGAAAACAAATATTAGCCTCGATTCGAGTTCAGTTCAGTGATTCGAAATTTGAACTTGGTTTTCGCTCTAAAGATTTATTCATATTTACAACCTACAATACGAATAAATGCAAAGCAAAAACGAAGCCTGTCATAAGGCGACACCTTAAAAAAAAAAAAAAACAGAATAATTGTTAGCTCATAATTAATTAAAGCAAAATAAATACAGCAACAAGCGAATGCGAACAGTGAACACGAATCGGGTAACAAGCACAAAATTATAATAAAAATGTCAGCTACGAAATCATTAGCTTAATTGAAGCGCACAAACCACAGCTCGCAGTGGCGGACGCCCACATAGCCGCCGTGGCGACGCACCCGGTCGCTGCCCCCATCGCACCGAGTGGCAGTTGCGAGTGGTTTATGACTGCATGCTTAGGTAATTGAAGCGCTCGAGCTGTTTACGTGCGGGTGGCGGCGGCATTAGAATAATTGGCAAAAGAATCTCAATGAGCCAGCCAATCGCGCCAGCCTTGTCTCTGAATTACAGCTCATTATTATTTCTGAGCCACATGGCGTATACGCAACGTGTACGCTCCAACCGGTTCGCAGCGCGTCGTTGCAATTGCTAAGCAAACACTTTCCCATGCCACATTTCCGTTCGCAACTTGTTGCTGCACTGCACTGCACTGCACTGCACTGCACTGCACTGCGTTGCATTGTGCAACCGCAGCGGTTGCATCTCATCGTGTCACCTTGACTCTGAATTTGAAGTGCACCGATGACTGCACGTTTTCGGCCAAGTTAAGCAACGCCAACAGCTACCTGTCGGCACTTATCCAACATCTGTTGCAGTTGGCCAGGTTTGGCCAGATCCACATGCATTTCTAGCTGCCATTAGCAGCGGATGTGCGGCTATTGCCTTATGCCATATGCCATTAGTCAAAACACCGGCCTCAACTGGCAACTAACTAGTGCCAAGTGGCAAGCAGCAAGCAGCAAGTAGCAAGTAGCAAGTGGCATGAGCCATGTTACTGACCCCTTGTCGACAATTTTCCCATTGCAGCTGACACTGGTAGCGCTGGCAGCAGCCTCGTGGGGCGACGCGAGGCAAAGTCAGTACCACATTCAAACGGATGAGGGACCTGAGAGATACTTCCGCTTTCAGACCGACAACGGACAGTTCCGCAAGGAGAAACGGCTGCAGGACGGCACAGTCATCGGTAAGTCCATAATGAGGCACCGTTATTAACGACTAGCTGTTGCTTAGCTAAATCAATATTTTCCAAAAGGAAAATCCATTTAGAGGAAGCATGCACTTGAACTGCACTTAGTTTTCTCACTAAAACTAAATTTTGTAGCACAGTGTAGACAACAATTCGAGAATTCACAAATCTGTTTTGCAGGCACAGAAGCCTGGATCGATGCTGCCGGCTTTTTGCGGCAGAAGGACTACATCGCCGACAAGGAGGGATATCGTATACTGAAATCCAAGACTGTTTTTGTGGGTCAAAACAGAGGCATTGAGGTAACTATTGAATGCTGTGGAGTAACCACATTCAGCAGCTCATATTTATCGGCCTTTTGCAGGAGGCAATCAAGTCCACGAAAGCAGCGCCAGCTCAATCTGGCGTTCTGGTCGATGGGAATGTGGGCGGCAATAGCGTAGCTGGCGGCTATCGCAAACATGGCTCTCGGTACAGCAGCACAACCACAACTACCACGCCCCCGCCGGCATTGTATGGCTCACCAAACTTGGCCACTGCTAATCTGGACTCTGGCGTGGGCAAACTCAACTACCTGCCGCCCGAGCAGGCAGCCAAGATAGAGCCCCAAACGCAGCTAGGATTCGACCACTATCCGGACGAGCTGCCAAGAGCGCGCGATCATCTCTTAGGCGGCAATGTGCACATTCAGCCCAACGCGGAGCCCATCGATGACATCAATGCGATCAACGTGTACGATGAGGAGGCGGATCATGGGTTTGCGCCGGGTCGCTTTGCTGCCGTGATTGGTTCAACAACGCCGCGTCCTTCTGTGCCCTCGCCAGCTTTCTTGGCGCCAGAGCTGTCCATGCTGCCGCCTCTGAGCTCTCACCGCAGGAGAATCCGACCACGCCCAACAGCCATTGGCATTGTGTCCACGACTCCTGCACCCATTGCGGCGCAGGATCAGTTTGCTTATTCAACGCCCGCGCCCTTCGTTGCGTCGCCCTCCCTTGGCGATGCCGGGTATCACTACGCGCCCACGGCCACGCCCCCGCGCAGTGCATATGGCTTATACACATCCAACTTACCACTGGATGTGAATGCATTGGATTCGCCTTTGCTGCCACCGTTGCCGGATCGAGCGTACCGCCGCCGACTCCGTCCGCTGCACAGCAACAATCTGGACGGCTCGGACTACGATGGGGTCAGCGTGACTCGCAACGGATTCCGCTATGTGCTGCCCAAGCAGTACCACGAGGAGGCCCAGGTGGATGGCAAGCGGGCGGGCAGCTACGGCTATGTAGATCCGTTCGGCATACGCCGTGTCGTCTACTACAATGCAGCGCCCGGACGTGGCTTCGTGCACCGCAACAACAATCAGTATGTGGGTGCGAATGGAGCGCCGTACGACGACCCCGGCCCAGCGCAGCTGGTGAACGAGTGAAGTGCGTTACTAGCGTCCTTGTCATAGCAATTAATCGATAATCGAATCCACGTACTCTCTCCCAGTCCCCTCACTAAGCACCAAAACTAACCGAACTGCCTCAACGTATGAGTGGTGTCCACAAAATGAAAGCATTTTTAGATACTGTAGGTAGTGAATACCTATCGCTTGCTAATCTGTATATAACCAGGCTTTACGCCTTAACCCTGCGCCCAGACACACGAACCACATAACAAACAAAACGAATATCTGTGTTAATTAATTTAATACTTATATATTTAACTTAATTTATGAATAATCCAATGTGCAATTCGCGCCTAGATTTAGTTAGACTAAAGCTTCATTAGGGGCACTCGATGTCGGTGCGGTAAGTGAAAATAGTTTCATGTATTAATCTTGCCATATTAACAACACGTAAATAAACACTACTACACCCACACACATATACACACACACGTATATAAGCGCACCTAGATTTAGAATCAGTGAGTAATTTCTTTGCTAATAGTTGTTCATTATGCAAATCTCAGAGCGAAAATTGTGCAAATATATATGTGTTTCTTATTTGTTTTTATTTTTTTTTTTTTTTTTTTTTAATTCGAATATGTTTTTAAAGATATAATGAGCACCCGTTGCCTAGAAATTATAGCAATAACAATCATTTCTTGTATATTTAGTTTTACAAAAGTGAATAAAATATTTCATAATGCAAAGAAGGTTAGTTTCTCAATCGTGCTTGCGATGCCTCCTGCTGTGCCTTCGCGTCCTACTCCGATTATTACAAAGGCTCTGCAGGAAATATACGAGCAATATGAGAATCAGTACCAGAAATGCGATCACATCCAAGGAATGCGACTGGAAGTAGTTCAGTTCCTTAGCTGTCGAGTGCAAGTGGGCGGGGTCGGGATGACGTAACAGATACTCCACCCACCACACGGCTAGCTCCAAGGGTGGCACAGGATTATCGCGTAGACGCTGAGACCGCACTTTCATGGCCTGCGCATATTTCTTGTTCTCGGCAACCTCTCGAATGGCTGAAACCAGCTGAACAGTGGTCATATTCAAGTAGCTGACCTGAACGGCGGCTCCGGCAGAAATAGTTTGGATGAGATTCTACGGGAAGAAGATATCGTTGCAGTCACTTTCGAAATACCCTATAACGTTAACCTACTCGATACTGATCGAGGAATAAGGGAATCCCGACAATGGGGACGCCGTGCCAGGTCGCTTCTTGGGTGCTTAATCCCCCACAGTGCGAGATGAACAACACCAAAGATTTATGAGCTGGAAGGATCAGCAAGATTAGCATCTTAACTCACATGTCAGATCAAACTTACCCAAGACATCAGTTTGAGGCAGAAAATCCTTGACCAAAACATTGGCCGGCATTTGCACATCCATCAAATACTCCTTATCGAACTTCCATAGGAAATGATAGTCAGGCAATTGCCTGAAGGCCTCCACTATTTTCAGTTTAGTCTCCCTGTCCACATTCTGTGGCAGCATATTGGTGCCCAACGAAAACAGTATAGCTCCACGCTTGCCACTTCGCATAAAATCATCCAGTTCCTTGGGCAGGGGCTGCCCTGGCTTGCCCTGCATGCCGCCCACCTCGACAACGTTGGGCGGCAAAGCCTCCACATAGTCGGTGGCTGGGTGGGAATTGACCAGTGAAACCTTTGTAAGCCTCGCCAGGTCGGAAAGGGACGGCATATCGGGCCCGAAAATTGGTCGCATTATGTCGTCCAATTGGGGATTGTAGAACCAACGGCGATAGCTAGTTACAAGCACTTGATTAGTTGAATCGTCTATGAAACTGATTTTATGCTCACATTGTGTCCGCGGCAAATATAAGCGTATTATCCAAACGCTGCAAGAAGCTCATGCTAGCGTTATACAAGGTCGAGAAGTAGGGAACAAGTGCGGGAAAGTAGTGATTCGACATAAAGTCCAGGGTTATGGGCGCATTGTGAAACGCTGTTATGCCAATGATGGGCGGATAGCGGAATCTGTGCGCAAAACCCAGCAGATAGGGTCCCAGCGTATAGTCGTTGATAATCACATCAAACTCAAACTCCGGCGGATAGTTGAGCAGCTGTAGCATGCCTTGCGATGCGGCTATGCTTTTGGCAGTTTTCACGCCGAAATCATAATGAATCGGAATGGTCACATAGTCGCCGATGCCAATGAACGCGTTAATATCAACTTTGTCGGCTCCTTCCGCATCGTAAAAGTCGTAGGCACGTTCCAGGTGGATATAGCTGACATTGGCTGGGACCTTGTCATCAGCGCGTGGCAAGTCCACAGACAGTATGGTCAAATTGTGACCCCGCTCAGCCAGCTCATACAGCAATACGCTATTCCTGCAAGCGAGAATCTCCCGTTAGTCCCCCGTCCATGCTCCACAGTCACACCAACCACTTGCCATATGTGATGACTATGGGACGTCATGCCCATCAGCGCCAATATATTTGCACCCGTTGCCCAGCCAAGTGCCTGAATCGCAAAAACGACGCGAATGCCGAGACATTTATCGGAACACATCTCGTCAGTTACTGAGCCGTTGCCAAGTGGGCTTTCTGCTCTTATAGCGACTGCCACAGAGAGCTGATAAGAAATAGTTTTATTTGCAAAAGCAATTTCTCTCTTTGCTCATCACAATCTTAGCAAATCGGCTTTGAATTACATGTTTGTTTTATGTCAAACTGTTATGAATATATTGAAATATAAGAGATAGCGTTGCAGTCGAGAATACTCATTCACGGTAAAATCGTTGCCAGCTTCATTTCCCGATTGAATAAAATATATATATAGTAGATAAATATTGAATAAAAATATATACATATATAATAAGTGGATATTTTTTCTTTTTTAAAGAAACAATTGGGTTCGCACTCTTTAAAACGTAAAATTTCCTGGAGAAATGCCGATACACAATTTTCTTCATAATTCTCTGAATGCCGTCAAAATTGAACGATCATAACAGTAAATAAAGGGTTTCTGACATGCTGTAAAATACATTTGATTTGCCACGCCCGTAGTTGGGATATCGGGCACCTCTAAACACTTTATTACTTACTGAAGAAATTGCTGCTTTTCTCGATTTTCCACGTCCTTACTGGGAGTAGACACTTAATTTTTGGCTATTTTTTAAAACGAGCAAACTGTAAGCTTACTGCAAAATTAGGATATTTACACTCCGAAAATGTGAAAATTACAGGGTATTTCTCAATATGCCACGCCCCTAAAGATGCGTAAAAATAATTTTTGGGCCATCGATAGAGGAGGTTACTAGTAACTAAACTATCCAAATTTGATAGTTTAAGAGATATAAACTTTTGCAGCTTACCACGCCCCCTGTAATCGGACATATATCCGTTGAAGCTTTCTAGTCTTGGGTGGTCAGTCCAAGTATATATAGTGTCCAAAATATAGCAGAATTTGAAAAATCCCTATATCTTCAGGTCCTGTTAATATAGTTAATCAATTTCAGATCTGTCCTGTGATGGATAAGTTAATTATATATACATGTATACGCTACACTTTGAGTATCTAGAAAACACAGAGGTCAACAAAATTTAAACGTAACTAAGTCTGCCAAGCTAGACATGTCCAGTCTGAACATATGCTCTATAGTATGTATAGCATTTCGTATGTTTTGAGCGCACACTGCACTCTCCAGAAAACAAAAAATAAACAAAACAGAACTCTTATCGTTTGGTCTTGATTACCGTTATCTTATCTGAGTCGGCGGGGCCAGTGGTGAATCAGTCGCGTTGTTGCGGTGCAATCGTTTGGTAGCATGAAATCTATCGCGGCACTTTTGTCGACGCCGCTGCTGCTTCTGCTGCTGACTTGCAGCAATTGGCAACAGACGAATGCTGCTCGGATTTTGTGCATTGTCGGCACGCCGGCGCACAATAATCCTGGCTGGGTGCTGCCCTTCTTCCAAACACTCGCTGAGCGCGGCCACCAGCTGACTGTGATTGGCTCACAGATGGATGCAGACATACCTGGCATAACTAGCGTTCCGGTGAGCAACGAGTACGACGTGATTAGGAAGCACTATGTGGACGCGATGGGTCACTACCAGAACTATTGGGATATTAAGCAGCTGCTCATTTGGTATGAGGCACTGCTTGGCACCTGTCGCTCCACGGTTGAGACACTCTTCTTCAAGAATTTCAACATTCCGGAGGGCAATTTTGACTTGATTATCTATGATGCCACATATTCCATCGAATGTCTACTCACGAAGCTGCCCCAGCTGCGATCTGTGCCCGTGATGGCTCTCAGCAGTGGCAAGCTGACGACAGACCTACTTCAGTTAGTTGAAGCAGAAAACACGATCAGTGCTGCAACGATTCCGCACTTCGCCAGTCGACTTCCTCTCGAAATGACGTACTGGCACTGCCTGCAGAACCATGTCATGTACCTGGCCGAGCGATTGTAACTATGAAACTAAGCATCTACAGACTAGAGGAAGATAATCCATTCTCAATCATTCCCTTTCCCGACAGCATTCAATGGTCTGTGGTTCAGCCCGTCTTAAACGGCATGCTGGGTAACGGGTACTTCAATCCTGAGGTGCAGGTAGTGCTGCTTAACACGCATCCGGTCCTGGACTATGTGCAGAACATGCCACCGAACGTTATAGAGGTGGGTGGCTTGCACATTCTCTCCGAGTCGGAGCCGTTGCCCTTCAGCACGCAGGACTTTATAGATCGCTTTTCCGAGGGGATCATTTACATAAATCTGCCCCATATTGAGCTGATGTATGGCTTGGGCATTCAGGCGATTGAAACCATGATCAGGGAGTACGGCCAGTTCGGCTTCCTCTGGAATGTGAACAATGTGAAGGAGCTGCAGTTGTCCGAGAACTTTTACAATCTGAGGGCCATCAACGTGGTTGAAAATATGCAGCAAAATATTTTGGGTTAGCTGAGAGTCTCCTTCAACTCGGATTATATCTCAATTCTTGTATCCGATTTCAGCTCAGTCCAATGTAAAAGTATTTCTCAGTCATGGAGATAGCTTCAGCATCCAGGAATCTCTCTACAATGCGGTTCCAATTATTGTGTTGCCCTTGCTGATGGATCAGATCAATGTAAGCTAACATCCATTTATATACATATTTCAACTCCTTATCCCTTTGTACCTCAGAATGCCCAGCGCTTGGAGGACCGTCATTTGGGAGTTCGAGTTTCACCCAGTGACTTTGCAGTCAATAGCTTCTCCGCAGCTCTGAAGCTACTGATACGGGACGATTCCTATTTGGAATCAATGCAGCAAGCACAACTCAATTATCGCACACGTCAACTGAAGCCTTTAGATGTGGCCGTTTGGCATGCGGAGCAATTGGTCAGCCAGCCCAACCTCTTTAAGCATTTGTCTGTGTCCAAGTCTTCTGGAATGTTTTACCTCATTAGAAAATCTACGGAAGTTTTGATTGTACCTCTAATTTTTTTACTCTTATTCTTTGGCAATTTCATCTTTCTGATCTGGCAAAGCATAAATAAGAAGAAGGTGAGACGCATTAAAGAAAAGAAGGTAAAAGCCAAGCCACAGGAGGACAAGAAAGAAGATTAGTTATGGAATAGAGATTCAAATTATAGGTGCTTAACATCGGAACAAACCATCAAGTTATATGCAAAAATGACAAGTATTTAAATATAAATAATGTGAAAATTCTGGAAAAGCTAAATAGTTTTAGAAATCGGGATAAACTAAAACGTGACCACGCAACATTCTGATATTTCAAATAAGTTTTTGTCCAGTCTGTAAATTAAAAACAAAAGACAAGTGAACTGTATTTATTTATTTTTTTTTTTTTTGTGTTTTTTTAGTTTATTGTTCATTTAATTTATCTCATCTCATTTATCTGAAAACGTTTCCATTAATTTTCGACACTAAATTATATTATTGGAGCTCAGACTTTATGTAATACATTTTCGAGGCAAAAATTACAAAAATACGAAGAAGGAAATGTAACTAAACTTAACTACACTGTTGCGTGTTACTGAAAATATATATAATTATATCCTGAACCCATTAAAAATGGGAAATCAGAATGTAATGGTTTTGTGATTTTATTTTAATTGATTCTTGTACATAACCTAAAATTGATTTAAGTGTCATTTTGTAACGTCTGCATGATAAACGCTTACCAGAACCATGGCAGACCAGAGGACTTCATTTGACTTAAAACTAACGCACTTTCAACTAGGACCCTCGGCTAATAGGAAAATTGTATGCACGATGGTTTAGGTGAGCTGCTAGTCTATCCTGTCTACTGGACAGGGACAGAAAATATGTAAATATTTTATTCGCCGACGCCTATAACTATACAACGTTTCTTTTCGATTAATGAAGAACTCTGAAGCAGTCTTAAGAGCTCAGCTGAGGCACGCTCTCTCTCCCTTTCTCTCTCTCTCTACACCTCGCTCGTCAGGTAAACGAATGGTAGAAGTCTGCATCACAGGTAAACACGACTCTAAAGCGAGCAGATTATTGAATTCTGTTACTTTTCCGGTGACAAGTGAAACAAAAGAAGGCACAAGAAACGAAAACCCTAAATGCTTACCCATCGTAAAAGTCTGTTTCAGTTATTTTCGGGAAACGACGGCGAGCGCAGCTGAGCGGACCAGAATGCTGACGAAGCTATTGAAAATCTGCTGCAACTCGCGGCAGTGCACGTTCGCCAAACCATTTGAGGCGATGCCGGGGCCACGAGGTCCGTTTGGGCTGGGTAATCTGTACAACTACATGCCTGGCGTTGGTGCCTACTCCTGGCTGCAGTTGCACAAGGCTGGCCAAGATAAGTACGAGAAATACGGATCTATTGTAAGAGAGACAATGGTGCCGGGTCAGGAAATTGTTTGGCTGTACGATCCCAAAGACATTGCGACCCTGCTCAACGAGCGCGACTGTCCGCAGCGACGCAGTCACCTGGCCCTAGCCCAGTACCGCAAGCAGCGACCACATCTCTACAAGACCACGGGTCTGCTGCCCACAAACGGACCCGAATGGTGGCGCCTTCGCTCCCAGCTGCAGAAGGAGCTGAGTGCTCCAAGAAGTGTGCGCAACTTCGTGCGTGAGGTGGACGCAGTGACCCAAGAGTTCTTGACCTTTCTGGAACAGTCGGTTGCAGCTGGCGCAGCCATCGATATGCTACCCAAGCTAACGAGACTGAACTTGGAACGTGAGCGAATTGCACAGTTATCTATAGCCGATCCCAATAATCAATTCCATCCATTCATTGCAATCATTAGTCACCTGCCTGTTGACCTTTGGACTACGCATCCAATCATTCTCGCCCGAGGAGCAGCTTGCCAACTCCCGCTCCACACAGCTCATGCATGCCGCTGAGACCACAAACAGTTGCATTCTTCCCACCGACCAGGGCTTACAGCTGTGGCGCTTCATAGAAACGCCCAGTTACAGGAAGCTGCGGCGCGCTCAAGCGTATATGGAAAGCGTTGCCCTGGAGCTTCTGGAGCAAAATGTGCAGGGAAGCTCATTCCGATCCTCTCTGATTGCCAGCTACGCGCAGAATCCTCAGCTAGATCGACTTGATGTTGTGGGCACCGCGGCTGACTTGCTACTGGCTGGCATTGACACTACTTCGTATGCCTCCGCGTTTCTGCTGTACCATGTGGCACGGCATCCTGAAGTGCAGTTGCGTCTCCACGCGGAGGCAGTCAAAGTGCTGCCCAAGCCTGAAGAGCCGCTCAGCGCGGATGCGTTGCGCACGGAGATTACATATACGCGTGCAGTGCTCAAGGAGTCGCTGCGCCTAAACCCCATTTCCATTGGCTTTGGCCGTGTCCTCAACCAGGATACAGTGCTCAGTGGCTACTTTGTGCCCAAGGGAGTAAGTGGAGCTGAGAATGCCAACAATAATACATTACTTAAACTCTTCCCCCTGTGCAGACCACCGTTGTGACCCAGAATATGATTGCGTGTCGCCAACCTGAACATTTTCCAAATCCTCTAAGTTTCCAGCCAGACCGTTGGCTGCAGCAGCGCAGCGCTCTCAATCCTTATCTAGTCCTGCCTTTCGGACACGGCATGCGCGCCTGCATCGCTCGCCGCCTCGCCGAACAGAACATGCACGTCTTGCTGTTGAGGGTAATCTCTATCTCTCTATCTATCTACAATACGACAGAGAACAAATTTAAAATTCAAATTCCATTCCATCCAGCTGCTGCGCAACTATGAGCTCATCTGGCGGGGCCGAACGGATGTCGAGCTGGATATTGAAACTCTGCTGATCAACAAGCCAAATGCTCCGGTGCTGATCGAGCTGAGACGGCGACCTGCGTGATTTGCAATGCAAAATGAAGTGAGGGCGGGTACACCTGGAGTTCATTGTTTATTTGCCTTAATAAATGAAGTTAAATAAACGTTTCTTAAACATATTTATAGTAAAGGTAAATCATATGACTAGTGTTTAATTATATATATGTATATATATAAATGTATTTTTTAATTAAAAGGCTGCGGGTGTTTTGGTCTACATGTACTACGTAAATGATAAAGAAACCTAATCCAAATCTAAGTTTGAATACAATAGAAAGGCATACGCATGAAATTCTTTATGTGGTGTCAGAGTTGGTTTAGAATGGGTTCGTATAATAGGCGTGTCTTTTGCTGTGTGTGTGCTCTGCACTCAGGGCTGCATACTTCTCGTTCTCTTCATTTAAGTTAGCTTTCTGTCGCAGAGTCAGCCCCAGCCGACTTATATATAATCGTGTAATAAGTCTAAATGCTTTTGTTTTAGTTATATATGCTTGGGTTTATAGTTTTAAAAATCTTTTCCTAACCTGTTGGCCCGCTGAAAGCCCCATTCTGGTTGATTCTAAACCGACTGTAAACCTAGCCAGGGTACAGTTATGCCCTGTAAGCTCAATTCTATTGAGAACTTAACCTCTATACCACTATCGTTTCACTATAATCAGACTGCTTAACGTCCAGTTCAAGTCAAAAATATCTCGCCTATACTGATTTACCTGCTCTTTAGTCTTCTATATACTTCTACTCCGTACTATGCTGTTGCATCCTGTTCTAACCTATAAGGACTTTGGTTGTTTACCGCACTAAACACTACGATGATTGGTGGAAAAATACATATACTTCTAGATTTCTCTGGATCTATCTGCTATGAGCGAGAATTTGTGGATTATGCTTCTGAAAAATACAATATATTTGTTAGATATATCTGTGTGAGTATGTGTGAATGTTTTTTTTTCTCAATATCGGATTTAGGTATCAGGTCGAGAGCCGTTAGCTCTTCGTATGGCTATCGCTGAATATGTGGGCTTGATGATACTTAAGATATGAGTTCACTAAATATGTAGTTCTGCTGCCGATGATAGACTTAAAGCTCCAGCAGCAGAACCTCCTCATGCTAGAGTATATTTAACAGCGACGAGTCCATCATGCGATCATCGTATAGACTCAGGGTCTTCGAGGCGCGAGCCTTCCGCACGGAGGGCGGCACATCTCCGGGCGTTTTGACCCGCTCGCTGGGATCGCGCAGTCGTTCACTGCTGCCATGCCCACTGAATACCTCGCGGAAGACCTCCAGGCTGTGCTGGCGACGCATTTGCTGCTCTGTTGGCGTCTGCAGGTTGCCGCTGTTGCTGGTCACCAGCAGCGAGTTTGTGCGCAGGTGTCCGGGACGTCGCTTTGGAGCCCTGGAGCCGGACAGCATGTGCAGCTCGTTCTCGTTGTTGTTGTTGTGGTTTTGGTTGTGGTTCTGGTTATGGCTAATGCTCCCATTGCAGTTAATGTGCTTAATGAGACTGCTGGACAGCGAACGTGGCACTATATGAGCGGGTGTGCCGGTACGCTGCTCCGCGCTGCGGAGCTGCAGCAAATTGGCTCTGTCCAGTGACTGCAGGGGGCTCAGGTCCAGATTGTTGGGTCGTCTGAGACCACTGGCCAATTGTGCATTGTCCATGCTCTTTAGAGCCGCCACGAGATTTGACTTCTCCTCGCCCAGCTGCAGCTGCCTGCAGAGCTCCTCGGCGTGCTCCTTGCGAAACAGTTTCTTGTGGATCAGGGCGCGCACACCATGCCATCCACGTAACTTCTGATCTGTGTTCTGTTGCTTTGGAAAGCCCTGGCCCAGACTTGAGTTCTGCTTCTGCTGGCGACTGGCAATGAGCTCTTCCACGCTCACGTCGTCCTCCAGGCAGGACAGGCTCTGCTCCTGCTGGGGCTGAAAGCTGTGCTTCTTACTGCGCTCCACGAGCACAGGCGGCGTCCGCAGTGACTGAGGCGCCAGATTGCGCTCCTGGCAAGGATTGCGCCCCTGCAGGTGCGGCTGCAACTGAGGCTGAGCGTAGCTCAAGTGATTCTTCTCTGTGGGGAACTGCTGATTGGGCGGCGGCTGCAGCAGTCCGCCATCGGCTGACGAGAGCTGCGATTGGGCTTGATGCACTGCAGCCGCTGTCGTTGTCGTTGTCGTTGTCGTGTTGCTGATTGTGTTAACGAGTGTCGCCGTCGGCGAGGCCAAGTTGTTGGTGTTAAGCAGCGGACTAGCCGGCTGCGTTTGGAGACGTGGGCGCAAGCTGGACACCTCCTGCATACGCTCCTCGGCGCAAAGCGATGTCAACCTGGCGTCTGCATCGTGATCCCAGCAATCCTCGCAGGTATCGCGCACAAGCTTGGCAGCCGCACCACCGCCCCAGCCGGCAGGGAACAGTGGGCGTGCCTTGTGCCGCACCACTAGAGCCTGCATCTGGTCGAATGTGGGATGCGGACCCACTTCCTGCTCGTAGGGCGCCTTGTAGGGCGGCGTCATTTGGCCGGGAGCATAGAAGTCCGAGCAACGTGTCGCCACCTCCCACAGCACCAGGCCCAGGGCGTAAACATCCATTTGCTTGAGCGATGTCTCGCAGTCCCGCAAGTTGACGGCACCCTCGAGCAGCTCCGGAGCCATGTAGCGCAGTGTGCCCACCTCATTGATGCTCTTGGTCTCGGCCATGGCCACCTCGCCCTTGTACTCGTACTTCGAGCCGAACACCTTCAGTGCAAATCCAAAGTCCGCTATGCAGCAGCTCAGATCCGCCTGCACCAGAATGTTGCGCGAGTTGAGATCCCGGTGGGCCACGCAGGGCTTGTGCAGCTCGCCTAACCGCAGCTCGGTGTGCAAGTGGGAGAGGCCACGCGTAATGGAGCGCAGCATGCCGCAGCACTGGGTAAAGTCCGTGCTGTTGGCAATCAGCCAATCCTGAAGGCAGCCCAGTGGTGCGAGCGATAGCACCAGCTGGTACTCCATGCGACCATCCATGGTGCGGCGCTCGTCGTAGCCTAAGTGGGGAACAACAATGAATCAATGCTGATGGATGCCTTCTGCTGTAGGCTTACCATAGTAGCTGAGCAGTGCCGGACAGTCCATCAGCGGCAGTGCGTATATGTTCCTCTCATTCACGTAATACTGATGGTGCGCCTCGGGGTAGATCTTGACGGCCACTTCCTGGTCGTGCAGCATGCCCTTCATCACAGTGCCGTATTTGCCACTGCCAAGCATGCTGATCAGGTTTATATTGTCGACATTTCGCAGATTGGAACTGTAGCCGGGTCCGGATGGGGCCAACGGCGATTCCTCCGGCTCGCTGTTCTCCTTGACGCCGCGACAATACTGAACGGCCAACAGAATGCCGATTACGAGGACTGTCAGCAGACCCACACAGGTGAGCAGCGTGGTGGCTCTAAAAGAACTATGCTGCTGCGATGTGGCTCGATTGTAGATCACCAGCTGCACATGGTTCGCCAGCTCTTGCGGCGCTGGCTCCACGATAGCCACTTGCGCATTGCACAGCTCGCCGGAGCAGCAGCAGTAGTAGAGGCTGTTGTTGCGGGATGTGGGTGCCGAGCTGGTGCACTTCGAGTGGCTGCAAATGGAGTTTCGGTCTGTGTTGTCCTTCCAGCAACCTACATAGAAAGAAAGTTTCAAAGTATAATAATATATATTTGCTTCAGACAGACGGAGACAAAACGATGAGCTGAGCTGTCAGTCTGTGCCTATTTGACCTATATACTAGGAATATGTTTGGATCGAGTTTAAAAAAAAAATCTATACCTAATAGAGACTGCTCGACTAGAAAATATCTAAACCTTTCTTAGAATTGATGTTTCAATGATTCTTCCCGTTTTTCTGCTTACACAAGAAACACACAGACACACACACATAGGCATGCACGCATAAACAGTCATAGAATGCAGTATGGGCCCTCTATGGGAACTTAGTTGTTTAATAACTTTTCTGGTCGATAGACTATCTCAATGAAACTTGTAGATCGTAAAAAATTCATAAACTGAAAATTTCTTGTAAATCTGTTCAGTAATACAGAGTTTCCCTATACATTTGCTTACTACATTCATGCGGGATCCATTCTAGGGTAGTCTAAAAATGAATGATTATATTAAAAATATTAAAATCGAAAATCGGGCGGACAGCACAGCACTAAAACTTTCCCAAAAATTTCCATCTTACCCTGCTTAACGAAACGTGTGCCATTCGAGGTCTGATTCCACAGAGTGAAACAGAACGTATAGCCCTCGGTGCAGCTGCGCTTGTGTGGTTCAGTTGGCAAGGTGCCTGTCTCCAGGTACTGCTGCTGCTGCTCCACACTGAGGCCTTCGCTGCTCTCCTGCTCATAGTCGTCGTCGTGCTGTGAATTGTCGTTCTCCTTGTAGCTCATGCAGCTATACTGGCGACTGGGCGCTGGCGCTGTAGATATCCAAGACAGCGAATCAATCTTAATACATATATACATTTATCTTTCAATGAATCAATTGTGTGTACTCACAGGCCAATGTTAGAGTAATCACAAGCATTATGAACAGCGTCCCGCACCGTAAACTCCGCACTTGCGCAGTCATGTTGCGAATTTTAGATTACTTTGGATTCGAAGTGTCTTTTGCTTGCCGCTTTTGATCTTATCTGCTCTCAACTCCTCGACGCTTATGTTTATGGCATTTTGGCTGAGCAGCAGTAAATAGTGCTGAAATGAGCATTTAATCATAAACAATGCAGTCAATATGTGTGTAAGCACTCATTTCTATATCATGACCGTTCGTTTTCTTTTGTTGTGAATTGCGGATCGTACATACGCTCTATCGTATACGTCTATAAGCAAACTGCAACGCAATGACCAGTCTGGCCTGTTGCCATTGGAGCTGAAAACATTTTTATGGTTTGGCTTCAGCTTCCAATTCACTCTGTATTCTGTGGGCGCACTGTAAATTTAGCTAATGCTGCAATTTATTGACGACGATAACGACGAGACCCAATTACAAAGAGACCCGATCCACTGGCTGGAGCAGCACCACCACCGCTCGCAGTTGCTGATCACCCGCAATTGTAATAAGAGTAACAATTTTGTATGTACATATGTATATATAAAGCTGTTGTTGCGCTTGGCGCTTGGCTTCTCTATCAGTCTGTTTGTCAGTCTGTCTGTCAATCAGTAAGTCAGGCAATCATCCACCCACTTCACTGAACATGGAGCTGGCGCTACAACAGGGGGCGTTTTGTCGACATCATTGAACTTTGGAATCATTTGGTGCCGCATTCCGCTAAGCAAAAAATAAATAAAAACGTAATAGTGATCGACTAGGAGATACCCTCAACACTGCGAAGAGCTGACATTCCAATGCAGCAATTGTTGTAAATATAAAATTTTTAAATTACGCTTAAAAAATAACTCAAATTATGAATACAAAATTCACAAATCAACTTTTCAATTTTCCCTGGATCTTCTGATTTACTAGATTTGCGATTGAATGGCGTGGCACAGAGGCAATGCCAAATCGACGTCTTAATCAAGAATATACATATTTTATCCAATATCAAGAATATATTTTATGCTGCACGGGGTCTACCAGGCATTTTGCTGCAGGAAACATTGTCAAACAGTTGAATCCATTAGAAGAATTCTCAGTAAAATAATAGCAAGCAGGATCGCAATATCAACTTAGCTCGATGAGCTTAAGGGTCTGCCACGTCGCCTTATGCATGTTACATTCATTTGAACGAAACCATTATACCCATATTCCCATTTCCAATGTGTTCAGTGTATAAGAAACACTCAGCAAAAAATCGTATGTACGCAATAATTAGCCTGAATACAAAGAAATACTTGGCACATTATCTAGGTTTTATTTTTAATATGAGGTAATATACATAGATTCCAATATATGTATGTATATACTAAGCATATCCGCTTTTTAGTTTCCCGGCAAAATTCTATCTCTCAGGCCATGTAATAGAGACCCCAGATGTATACAGAGTCAATGAAATGCGCTTAGAAAATCGTTTCAGGCATTCAATTTTTCTCTCAGTACACATCAGACATACAGAGCATATATGTACATATGTATGTACAGCTGCGAAAAATAAAATAGCACCACTTGCATATTCGAAGTTTGAGGAGTTCTCCTGGACACATTTATCAATGTATTGATGTAATTTTTTCACTCAGATAAGCAGAAATGAATTAGTTATTACGGCAAAAAAGAATTATCACAAAAATATTCATAGTTTTTATATAATTCAAAAAATTCTCAAAAAAGCCGAAAAAATGCCGAAAAAAATAATAGCACCACTTTTTCATTTTGCGCTAAAAATTATTTAAAAAATTAAAATGAGTAAAAACTTTTAATTTATAGTTAATGACAAATGAAAATAAATATACTCCCTTAAGTTTAGCATTTATTTGATTTGCCTTTGTTAGCAATTAGGGCTGCTCAACGCCCAGACATGGATTCAACCAAGTCCTGACATCGTTT